GTATCACATAGGTCAGAGAATATCCACAAAAGAATTCCTAGAGTATATTATTTAGAAAAAATTATCCAGACTTGATTTAAAAATGGGGAGAACCCACCATGAACTTGGTTCATTACTCACCCTTTTTAAACAAATTTCACCTTATTTCCAGAGTGTACATTAGCGTCAATTTCCAGCAATTGGATCGTATTATACCTTTTTCTGCTAGACAGATGATAATCTGGTCACCCTGAACCATTCTGTGGTAAGATAAATAGACTGAGCTCCTTGAGTCTATCACTGTAAGGCAGGTTTTCTAATTTTTTAATGATTCTCATGGATTTTTTTGAACATTTATTAAACAGTCATCTACCTAGAAGGTAATCTTAACTCATTACATGATCTTGAGAAAGTCTCTTATGCTCTGAGTTTTTGGTTTTTAATTTACCCAATAATCCACAGAGTATCTGTATCAAGTAGCTCTATTCTGGCTTCACAATAAATATTTAGCCAGGATCGTGGAGATGCATATAACACCATTTTGTGTCAGACGCTTCAGGGGGTAGCCGAATTAGTCTGCACAGGATAAACTTAAAAAATAACAAATGGTCTGGTAGCACTTTATAGACTAACAAAACATGTAGATGGTTTCATGAGCACCGGTCATCTGAAGAACTGGGCTGTGCCCATGAAACCTCATGGTACCATCTTCATGTTTTGTTAGTCTGTAAAGTGCTACCAGACCATTTGTTGTTTAAGTTCATTTTGTATGTCAGGCAAGAAACTCATTATTAAGAGTCTCTCTTTTTGTTCTTTGTCACGTACCCACCCCCACCCGTGGGGTATGTAGGATCAGGGTGCCCTCGGTGGCACGAAGGTGCCGATCCCAGGTTTGCTCTAGACCCACAAGTCACCGGGGAGAGGCTTACTCGTGTACCAAGGCCAGACCACAAGCATGGTAGCCTACCCCCCCTATGAGCCACCTGTCCCTTTACCACGGCTAGCTGCTAACGGGCGATAGTCCGCGCCCGCTTTGGGCGTCCTTCTTCCGTCACTCGCCAGAGTTCAGTAGTAAGAAGGAGGAAAAAAAAAAAAGGTCCCTCTCAATGTTCCGTCTTCCCGGCCTTATCGACAGTCAGTTTAGGTTGGGTAGGGGAACTTGGGCCCTCTCCCACTCCCGAGCTCCAGCCCCAGGACCCTAAGGTGAGGCTGCGCAGACCTTACCCAAATGATGAGCCACACGTTGGTCACTCACCACCCCTCTCGGGGGTGTTGGCCTCCTTCTCGACACCCCCGTCTTGGAACCACTTCCTACGGGGCTTAGATGCTCCTCTGCCGGATGTTTCCTCTGGATGTAGGAATAACCTGCTCCAACACCTGCGGTGACTGTCTCCGTTCTGGCGCCTGGGTTCCGGTCTCAGCTGCCTGGGCCTCTAGTGACCCGCCTCCGGGGCCCTCCGCCCTCCCAGCAGCTTCCTTCCTGACCCCGGCATCCCCAGCAGTTCCTGCGCTCCTGCTGGGCCCGGCGTGTCCTGTGGCTTCCGTGCTCCTGCTGGCCCCGGCATCTCCAGTGGCTTCCACCCCCGTCAACTGAGCCGGTGCCTCTTTTGAACATGGCATGCGACTCAGGGTGTATGTGCAACAGCGCCAAGGGGGGGCCATACCAGTCTGTTCCCGGGCCGGGAGCCTCCGGAGCATCCATCCAGCTATGCATAGGTAATAAGGTTTGATTTCCTGAGCCCGTAATTCGGTGAATAGAAGTGGACGTTTTTACAGGGGTGGGTTGATCTCTGTGGTAAAGGAAGGGGAAGCAATTCAACAATCTTTTGTTTCAGTAAAGAGGCTGGGGAGTCTGTGAAGCAGAACCTCAATATGAAGCTTGCGCTTCCTGATGAAGACTCTATTGCTATCAGGTGCTTAGCTCTATGTATTCCACTGAACTCTTTGGGGACTGATAGGTTCAGCATCTTTCAGGAGGTGCTTGAACTTAGTGGGAGTTGAGAGCACCCACACCCAGGACTTCACTGAAAGCCCTTAACAACCCACTGGGGGTCAAAAGGTGAAAATCACTGCAGTGAAGAGAGCCTTGCGGTGGGTGTTTGCACGAAGCAGCCATATGGAGTGTGCCTGAACAGCCCTTCTATGCTACAGGAAGGATGTTGGCTCAGACTCCATATAGGATGCTGTTTAAGTCTCGGCTTGACAAAGCCCTGGCCGGGTTGATTTAGTTGGGATTGGTCCTGCCTAGAGCAGGGGGCTGGACTTGATGACCGCCTGAGGTCTCTTCCAGCTCTATGGTTCTATGATTCTATGAAAAGGCTGCATAGCAGGAAGACTGTTGGGGGGAAGTTATATTGCCATATTTATGCCATTCTGATGGCCCCAGCAACACCTTCAAGTGATACAGAGGGGCTGTGCTTGTTAGCTCAGGCTTCAGGAGATGCTCCCTTACTGCCCTGTGCTCCTTGCACACAGAGCAAATATTCAGGTTCTAGGTGGGTGCAGTGATTTCACCCTTAATGTATCTGCCTTCCTTATGCCATAGTGGCATTTAGGTTAGATAGCATGTGCTGTTGCTATTGTGGGGAGCAATATTACCTTAAAGTGCCCTTCTTTGGATTGAAGCAGCACAGCAGAAAATGGGCGGATTAATTTGCCTGCTCCATAATTATAGTTCCGAATTTAGCCAGGAGTCAGAAACGTACAAAGGGACTGCAAGAATACAAATGCATCAGAGAGAGAAGAGGAGGTGGGTGGAAACAAAAGGAGGGGAACAGCCAGGTGAACAAATTCTTGGCAAGTACAAAACCCTTGTGTTAGGTTGCCTGAAATTTTAAACAACAAATTTTGCATGCCTTCTGCTGGGAAATCCGTGTCTTGAAAGCCAATGTTGCCAAGATTAGAATGCTGAGATAAAAGGCGCAGGTCAGTACAGAATGAGTTCTCAGTAATAATAGTTACCCATTTACTAGCTTTAATACAATGGGTCAAATACAATCACCATAATAATTTTAACATATGACTTGTTTCTGACCAGAGAGCTGTGTGTTCCTGCCTCCTTGGGCAAGGTGCTGCTGCTGCTCTCACTGAGAAGCCCACCCATTCCCTTCTGGGGGGGGGGGGATCCTCCTCCCTTTTGAGAGGAGCAGTTTGATTTATTCACTCAAGCTAGAAGATGGTGATTCTATCCCTTTAACCTACAGGTCCCTATGCTCTGCTCACCAGTGACTGCCAGCCCTGGAGTTCCTGTATTGGTTTTCACTCACCTATAATTTTCTTGAACCCTCAGGAACAAGACAATTACAACCAACCACCTGCCTTCCTATCCCTCCAGAAGTTACCACCCTTCCTTTTTATTTACTTTGGTAGTTTTCAGGGGAATGGCTGTGACTATTTCCTGAGAAGTAACAATGAAATTGGCAATTGTGAGAGAGGAGAAAAACTTGGCCAATATTTCCCAGTGAGATTCCTCCATCCACAACCCCAACAGTAGATTTCACCACACTTAACAAACTTCCCAGTTTTACTGCTAAGATTTCATCAATAGAGAAATGTTTGGTGCAGTCCTAGCTACATCCTGCTGGAGCAAAATGTCAAGACATATTAAATACATGAGGCTATAGAAGGGCAAAGTTTTAGCTTGGCTAGAAGGTCAGTGCTCAAACATATGGAAACAGTGGAACTTTAAAGGAATGTTCTCTCAGAGTTTGCTGAAGACCCTAGAAATGTGCTACAATTCTGGCTGTGCCAGTTGACAGTCACTAGGATAGTGGAACAAGATCAGGAGAGGTGTGGGTAACATTCTTTCTTGGTAGTGTGAAACATCTTGGGTGTCTTCTTTGAGTGTGTAACACTGTTCTGAGCTCATACATGTCACCACCATATTGAAACATGACAACAAATTTGAGAGTCAAAGCCAGTAGGGACCATCAAATCATCTAATCAGACTTCCTGCACATTCCAGGCTACTAACCTCACTCAGTTACCCTTGCATATGAAACATGCTAAGAAATGAATTTACCTTGAATCAGGTCTCTTATTTGTAATGATTCAAGACAAAATGAAAAGGGGAGTCGTAAAGGCCCTTAATGTGGTTTGTTCTCCCATTTGTGGGAGTTACCTGTATGCATCAAGGAATACAAATGATTCCCATTAATATATTTATTTAGACTAGATTTGTAAAAGCATGAATAATTTCAAAATCAAAGGTGCTTCCCATATGAACGTGCTTAATAATCAGGCTGCCACATTCTGCCTTAGCTTTAGTTTTTGAGTAGTCTAATAAGGAGGTTCATCCAGAGCACATTACAGTACTCCAATGTTCCAGCTATTAAACTGGCTGGAATCATTCTATACTTGCATTTTACTCCAACTATAAATAAAAGAGCTTTGTGCACCTCTTGTTTAATAAAGTTTGGGGGCTTTGGGCTCACTTGGAAGAATTTTGTTCCCTATGAATTATACCTGATAAGTTGGATCCCCTTCTACACAAGCACTTCAGGGTCTCCAAGAAGGATCCTGGTTCAACTAAATGAGATGGTTGGACCATTTAAACACTGGGGCTGTGTCTACATTGGCCCCTATTCTGTAATAGGGATGCTAATGTAGCACTTTGGAATAGGCAAATCCGCGGGGGATTTAAATATCCCCCGCGGCATTTGCATTAACATAGCTGCTGCTTTTTTCCGGCTTGTAGATAAGCCGGAGAAAAGCGCCAATCTGGACGCGATCCTCCAGAAAATAAGCTCTTTTCCGGAGGATCTCTTATTCCTACTTGAAAGTACTTGAAAAATATAAGATGTATTTTGTTTCTTTTCAACAAGTGTTTTGCACTGAATGCCAAAAGGGATACTGTAAAAAAGGTTATGTTACAAATGAAACCCCATTTCCCCTCCAAACCTTCATACCATTTAAGAATGCATAAATCAGGTTACATCTGGGTTTTAAAATCTACTCATAGCACTAGAATTGATCACAAAATGGAAATGAATTATTTATTAACTCCAATTTCTTTTTTTCAGGACACGTGCACATCACGGATTTCAATATTGCTACCATACTAACTAAAGGGACGCAGGTCATCACTATCGCTGGCACAAAGCCATATATGGGTAAGAATTCCTAAAGACCTAGGCTACTTAAAGGGCCATTCTTTGTTTAATACCCATCCTTAATTCCAGGTTTTGAAGAATATAGGGAGACAGAAGTGAAATCCTTTCAGAAAATTATAACTCTTTCCATTCCCACCAGATAGGAATGCGGTGATTTTAAATGAGATGAGCCACAGATGGAAAAACAAAGATTTTTTTGTTTCATATCTGTGCAATATTTTCTCATACTGATTTAGAGCTGGGGCCTATGTCGTGATTAACTAACAAAAAAGGTGGGGAGCCAGGAAAAGTCTAATGGAAACATTAATTTCAGTTAAGCTACTGTCATGCTGCAAGGCCTTATTCAAATGTCTTGTGCCTGTGCCAGATGACTGTTAAATAAAATGGGATTTTTGTTGAGGCTCTCAAAGCATTTTACAAATTTTAGTCAAGCTTCATTCACCTCTTTGATGTAGCTATTATATGTATCATTATCCTCATTTCACAGATGGATAAACTGAGGCACAGAGAGCTGTATTAGCCTATGCTACGCTAGTGTAATGACTCAATCCTATAAAGGGCTGAACATCACTTGTGAGCCGAGAATGAGCTGAGTACCTTGCAGAACCTTTCTTGATTAAGGTTTAAAAAATCCATAGTGTTAATCTGGATTTAGACCAATTGTAATTGTTGAAACAGATTCTGGACACCGTGTATGAAGCAAGCAGAAGGGTTTGTTAACACACAGCGCTGGTGGAGTGTCACTTCGCTTGTTAGGCTTGGTGAACACTGCCAGACAATAGGTTACAACTAATTATATAGGATGCTTAGTGGGCAGATGAAGTGATTGGGGGAAAAGGGGGAAAATCCCGGACCCCTGGATAGGTGCTAATCTGCTAATCGTGAGGCAAAAGGAGAGCAATAATCTAAAGGTTACATAGTGTTTTCTGCCCATAGGTTACAGAATACCTTATATCTAGTTACACAAGTATTTAAGAGGTACATAGTCCTGTTTTTTGTTTTTAAGTATTTAAACAAAGCAGACATCAGTTATCAATTATGTGTTAGGTGGCAACGTGTCTGTCAGCTTCAGGAACCTATCTCTGCACGGAGGTGATCTATTGGTGATGCATCTGGGGATTAAAGCAGAGACATTAGGAGTACTTGACAATTGCGCATTTGTTCCTAGCACCATTGAATGTGTCATGTCCTGTCTCTCATCCTAGGTTGTTAGCTCTATGATGACCTTCCTGGGATGGGCTACGCGTGGGAGGAGGGGGAAGGTAACCATCGTATACTGTGCTAGTGTGCCAGTTCCAGACTTGAAATTTAGAATAGGGGTTCTTAACAGAATATCATAGCCTGCCTCAGAAATTTTTACCCTACAGTAATGGCAACTGGAATTTAGCCTGTAGAACTTGCATGAGCTGCATAGATCAAACAGTATGTCAGGGAAAAATGCAGTGTCCCACATTTTGTAAATTTGTTGTAAATTACATTAGTGTGTAAGCCTGTGTAAGGAAGGGATGACTCAGGTTTCAGGTGTCCTTGCTGCTAACCCAGTGGTTTTCTACTACCCCAATAGCCTCTGATTAATGTTGCATTCCTTTGCAAATATAAAATTAAAAGGACATAGAAAATAGAAAATATGATGATAGCTCATGATACCATCTACATATTTTGTTAGTCTGGTAGCACTTTAAAAACTATTTGTTTTTTAAGTTTTTCCTTTTACAGACTAACTTGGCTACCCCTTTGAAAGTTATAAAAAAGCTAGTATTTCTGCATAGTAGTATATAGACATCAAAATAAAAATGCACAATGTTTATATATAGGGAGCATTACACAGATGCAAACATCACAGCCACGACTGTCAGGAAAGTAATGAGAATGGTTTTCAATCTCATTTTGAAAATCCCTTTTAAATTATTTACCCCGTTGATATGAATGGATTTGTGCCCATCTGTACCAAACAATCAGCCCAGCTGCAGTCTGGAAACTGAGGTGCACAAGGGAAAAAAGCTTGAAAACAAGCTAGAGGGGAAATAAGGGTCGGCAGGATGAGTCAGTTCCCTAGTGCATGACACATTTGTGCACTGACCTTCTGAACTTCCATGTGTTAAGTGTTACGCTCTTACTAGGAAAATGTGGTGCACATCTTTGGGTTCCCATTGTGCTGGTAGCTGGATCAGTTGCCATGGTGACAAAAGAAGTAGGGACACCATTTTTTTTCTTCTGCCCTTGGTTAGGAGAAATTTTTGTGTCCAATTTTTGTGTACATTTGTTCTATGTGCATTCTATAGGGCAAAGGCGCTGATTTGGTTCAAAACTAGGTAAAGTAGCAGAGCTACCGTGTATATGAATGAGGAATGTTGCTGTCTTGTGGTAGGGCCACAAAGTAGATAATAGACTTGCTGCTACTACTAGCAACAATAGGAGCCCCAGTTTTTTGAAGGTAAAGGAGCTGTGCTGGTTTCCTAGGTGCATATGACATTGATACTGAAATGGTGTCGACGACACATGGTTTTACTTCAGTGGAGGCACACAAATCAGTGTATTCATGTCAGTCAGACTGAACATTTAAAACGTAACATGGAGGGTTGGCGGCGGGTATTCCTTGCCACAGATGGGATTCAGTTTCATGTGTGGATATTGCTAGGTTATCACTGTCACAGATGCTGTTTCTTTCTTCCTTTTACCGTTGCTCAGAGCAAACTTTTATGTCTTTGGAATGTGCCACATCACACCAATAGTACTTAGAGTATTGCACATTTTCCCCATGTGGAATGATATTCCAGCTGTCACTAAAAAAGCTACATCTATAACCTCCCTCTAAATCTCCACTACCTACTTGCCCACCTACACAAGTTTATATGTACAACGCAAAAATCCCCAATCTGTTTTTCAGACACGGCTTGTTTCCTCTACTAGTCTTGCTGCTGGAGAAGTTCCACCTATTGATTTTTTTTCCCCTGTCAGTAATGCAGAAAAGTATTATTTATGTCCCTTTTACTGCCAACCCAGCAAAATGCTTGGTTATTCAGAGACAAGAGGAGCCCAATTCTCATTTCACTTACATGTAAAGTTGCCAATCCTGTATTTCAAAAATAAGAGACTCTTTTCTCAGCACTCCTACCCCAACATTCCTCCCATTATCATCATCACCGTCATCGTCATCATCAACATCGATATTAAAGAGTACTCACAGGGTCACTGCTGCTTTTTGCAGTACTCAGCAACTCTGATCTTGTTGAGTGGGAGATAAAAAAAAATAAGGGACACCCCTTGGAGCCACTTGTATGGGCGAAGTTGGAGGGGTTATACTAGGGCAATGGAAGATGGTGCCAAAACCATGGCTGTAAGAACTAAGAGTCTCCTTAGTTCAAGCTAAAATGTGTCCATCAGTAAAATGAGCTGTAAATCTGATGAACAGTAACAATCATAAGAGCCGTCCCATCCATAAGACAGTTTGGGGAGGTAGCCCCAAACCTCTTGTGTTGGGGGGCCCTATTGCAGCCACCTCAACTGTCCTATGTCCTCATATCCTTCATGGTCCAGAGCTGCTTTGCGTATTACCTGGAGAATGAGGCTCGGGGCAGCAGCAGGGTGTGAGGCCCCCTACACTCACTGCAGCGGCAGGAGACACAGGAAGCAGAGCAAACCAGCAGCCTGCTCCGCTGCCCATCTCCCAGTTGGGTTGCTCCACTTCACCGTGGTGGTGGGAATGGGAGTGAGGACCGGGTGCAGTGAGGACCAGAGGGGGCGGAACAGGGGCAGGAATAGGTGGGGTGGAGTGGCGCCTGGTATAGGAGGGGGTTTCTCAGGGACATACACCTGGGGAAGAGGGTGCCCTGTGCCCTCCTCCAGACAACCCTGACAGTCATTTGCAGCATTTCACTGCATATAGGGCTGCCAAGTGTCCAGTATTGGCCCGGACAGACTGGTATTGGTGGCCTCTGTCCGGTGAAAAAACCCCAGAAAATACCAGATGTTCTATACAGGAGAATTAAAGCATTATCTAAGGTTTCTCCCTTACTGCTGCTGTCCCTTCATAATTGATCCTTCACTCCATAGGAAGCTCCTTTTATTAGCATAACAGAGATGACTTTTCACCCTTCAGGTCACCTGACTCAGTGCTGTAATATTAAAAAAATACAAACAAAAAGCCCCTCAGCTTTACCTCTGTTTAGTTTTATTCCTTTGTTAATGATCCTCCCCTCCCACACCTAAAAATGTCATTGCATTTTCCTTAATCTTTCGCATGGAGCTAATAAATTCAGGTCATCTTCTGACCCTGCCCTACTTCCTGTCAGGCAGGCAGCTTTACTCTATAGAAGTAATGGCTGTTGGGCCTGTGCCCAGATAGAGGTCATTCTCTGCTTTCCAGAAATGTAGCCAGCAGCATTATGTCTGTGTTTGTATCCACCAATAATTCAGAGTTTGCAATTTACCCCCTTAAGTTGTGGTTCTTCTAGACTGAAAGTGTTTTCGGATTCAGCTAAGGGAAAGAAGATGGCAAGGAGGAAATTAGCTGAACTTGAACTCAAATGAAAAAGGTTGACATAGCTCTAACTTGAGGGAATTTTCTGTGGTACACAAAAAGAGGCTAGCTGGGCCAGTGTTACTATTGAACTTCATAGAACAGGCTTCAGTTCCCTGCTCTGACACAGTCTTGCTTGGGGAAATCAGAGAGTCTTTTTATGCCTCAATTTTCCATATGTGAAATGGGAATAATAGCACTGCCCATTATATGCCTCAGAGGAGCTTCAGGTGTTGGGAGGACAGATATACTCAAATTAAGACATGATCTGATATTATGGCGATAGAAGTTATATAAGAAACTAAGATAGATTGAATCCCCACTCCCTAATCAGTTATCTAATATTAGGAAACTACTTTAACTCAATGAGTGGCATAATTCTTATGGGGTGGATCGATCCTGTAGCGATTGATCCACCTGCGGTCGATTTAACAAGTCTTGGAAAGACCCTTTAAATCAACCGCTGATCATTCTCCTGTGTAGTCAAGCAGAACAAGATGCATAAGGGGAGTTGACAGGAGAGTTTTTTCTGTCTACCACCTGCAGCGTGGACCTCACGGTAAATAGATATAATCTATGTCAATTTGAGTTATGCTACTAATATATCTCAAATTGCATAAATTAGTTCTACCTGTCCTTATAGAGTAGACCTGCCCTTTGTAACATCAAATACATTAAATTATTTCTCTATTATACATTGAACATTTAAATAATGCTTTGTATTTCCCTGTCCAAGACTCTGAAAATTCTTAAATCCATTAAAGGATTAAATATCACAACACCCCTTTAGAGTAAGAAAATGGTAATCATTCTATTTTTCAGATGGGGAAAACTGAGGCAGAGAGGAGCTAAATCGTGTTCAGGATCATAGAGCAAGTCAGCAACAGAGAATACTTCACACTAATCCTGACACTGATTATACTGTCCATATCATTAGACTTTAACACCCAAATATCAATTAGTGTAGGCACATATGAAAAGTTAGGTCAAACTATAAAATGACTCAGATGCTGATTCTAGGGCTGTAAGTGACTGTTCGTCTAGCTGACTATCAGATAAGCATAAGCTTATTGGATAGTCGACTAGTGGTGTAACTAGTCACTCCCTCCCCCCCTTGCTGCCTCTGTCAGAGTGAAGCAGCAAGTGGGGGCAGCAGGGGAGCAGGCTTAAAAGCCGGTTCCCCCCAGCATCATCTCTCTGTAGGGCAGGGGAGGTAGAGGCACAGTGGGAAACAGCACAAGCTGGGACTGAAGCAGTCTCTGCTCATGCTGGTTCTGCTGCGATTTGCTTTGAAATATACAAGAGGAAGCCCTGCAGGGAGAGTGGGGCCAGCGGGGCAGTCCACTGGGGCTCTTGTACATTTTAAAAGCTGAGGTGCTGCAGGGAGCACGGGGCCAGTGGGGAGTCCCCTGCTGGCTCTGTGCTCCCTGCGGGGTGTCTGCTTTCGAAATGTACAAGAGCCTCACTGGGGCTCTTGTACATTTCAAAGGCTCAGGCACGGGCCCCATGCTCCCTGCAGGGCTTCCGTGTATGAAATCCCATCAACTATTCGATTCGTTAATTAATCTAAATTTAATATCCCTAGCCGATTCCACACCAAAGTATAGTAATTTTCTAATGGATGTGAATTGGCCTCTAGTAATAATCCAACAGAAACTACAAATAGTAACACTGACATTATATAGAGCCTGTCATGTCATGAGCCTAAAGCAGTCTAAACATTGGCGTTTAACTTAGCCTTCCACCATGATTTTTGAAGTAGCTAAATCTTACTGTAGGTTATGAAACTGAGGCTGAGCAGTTAGGTGACTTCCCAAGGTCAAGAAGTATTTAGATTATGGGAATCCTAACCAAGCATTTACTATCATTGCTTGTTAAAACAAATCCAAATAGTCAAGTGAACGGCTGGGTCAAAGGGAATAAATTAAATATATATGGTAAATAGAACAGTGTGGAATTCCTTTTTTTACCTCAGGACTGAAACATTATATCATTAAACATTATATATATTCAGCTTATAACTGCTAAGGTAGTCAAGAATTACTATTTGAGACTGAAATAAAGCAAAACATTTTTTTCTGTATTTTTCAGCTCCTGAGATGTTTAACTCCACAAAAGCTACCGGCTATTCCTTTGCTGTTGACTGGTGGTCTTTAGGAATTACTGCCTATGAGCTACTTAGAGGCAGGGTATTGTACATACAGCTGCATTCATTGTTTGGGTTGTTTTGGGGGAGAGAGGGGTTAACTCTTGCTGTTTTCAATACTGTTTTGTTTGTGTTTTTAAACATGGATCAAAATATTGAGTTGAAATCTATAGACTCATAAGAATTCCAAAAGAACCCACGGCCGCACAGAATAATTCAGGGTGACAAGTTCTTTAAGGGTACGTCTAAACTACATGGCTCCATCGACGGAGCCATGTAGATTTGTTGTTTTGGCAAAGGCAAATGAAGCCGCGATTTAAATGATCGCGGCTTCATTTAAATTTACATGGCTGCCACGCTGAGCCGACAAACAGCTGATCAGCTGTTTGTCCGCTCAGCGCGCCGCACAGAATAATTCAGGGTGACAAGTTCTTTAAGGGTACGTCTAAACTACATGGCTCCATCGACGGAGCCATGTAGATTTGTTGTTTTGGCAAAGGCAAATGAAGCCGCGATTTAAATGATCGCGGCTTCATTTAAATTTACATGGCTGCCACGCTGAGCCGACAAACAGCTGATCAGCTGTTTGTCCGCTCAGCGCGCTAGTCTGGACGCTCCCCTTGTCGACATCAAAGCCCTTTGTCGGCAGCCCCGGTAAACCTCATTCCACGAGGAATAACGGGGCTGCCGACA